CTCTAACGTGGGTTTGCACGTTCACTGTCCGCCCACATTCTCTGTTATGGGACTTTGTTTAAATAACATTTTTTATGCATTCCTCATCAATAAGACGTAAACTCAATGATAAAACACAGTGGGGAAGTAGAGAAGAAAGAATTCTGTGCTTTATAGGATTAAAGTGTGATCAATTGCTTATCTTTCCCAGAATTATTTTCTCTCAAACACAAATATGAAAAAAATGAATGAGATAATCAGGTATTTCTGGAAATATGACATCTAGTATTTTCTAACAAGAAAGAAAAGTCATCTCTGCGCAAAGTCATCACACATCTACCTGTGCAATGTGTGCATACGTGTGTGCATGTGCATATGTATCGCTATGTGTGCTGTGTATGTACGTGTGCATGTGTGTGTGGTGAGTGTGCTATCTGGTATACACACATTTAACACATTTGCTATTTTGTGTCACATAAAAAGAGAGATAATACATTTCCCAGATTAAACTAATAATTTTGCCCATTAATCTCAAAAGAATTTCTTAAACTGTTTTCCAAACCATTTGGATAATATTTACATGTAAGCCACCCTATGATGAGATTTTTCAATGATTTTTTTTGAAAAACCAACTTTCAAAGTTCTACTTCACATCAAAGCAGAATTTTGTTCATCTAGAACTAAAACAAAATTCAACCAATCCCACCATGATGGGACGCCTGGGTGGCTCAGCAGTTGAGCATCTGCCTTTAGCTCAGGGCATGATCTGGGGGGTCCTGGGATCAAGTCCCACATCGGGCTCCCCACAGGGAGCCTGCTTCTCCCACTGCCTATGTCTCTGCCTCTCTCTGTGTCCCTCATGAACAAATAAATAAAATCTTTAAAAAAGAAAATCCCACCATGATAACGTATCCTGGCTATACTTGAGATAAGTTTGCGATGACCTTTGCTCACAGTATCACAGGAGCACAGCGCTAAGATACAGAAGATTTAGGGTATGTTTACAGACACTGAGGCAAGTGGAAAAAAAAAACCAATTTTGAATAAGTGTTACAGTAAGTGCAGTGTATAAAGACCATCTATTAGGAACAATAGAACATTTATAAATAAAGCGAATAATTTATACCACCCTAAATATCACCAGATTCACAAATGGGAGGAACAAAATAGTCTTAAAAAGAGTTCTTGTAAACACAAGGCCTCGTTCCAAAAGAACAGTAGGCATCTGAGGTGAAAAGTCTGTAGCTCTCCGACAGTTAGAGCCCCCAGCCTGTGGGCAAGAGCGGCCGGCAATCTGTGCGCAGAGGGTGAGCAGTGAGCATCCGAGGGCACTGCTCCCGGCTCGGCTCCTTGTTCTTGCCATGGGCCCTGGGGGCGGATCCTAAATGTGGTCACCTCTTTGCCGGTGTCACATGCTATAAGGAAGAGCCCTTCTTCTGGGGACCCGGGGGGCCAGCGGCGCCCAGTATCTCCACCTATGGCGTGGCCTGGGCGGGGGGTGGTCAGGGCTGAAATTTCAAGGGCCTGCCGGTCTGCAGACGGCTCTCCTACCTCGGCCAGCGGCTCTCCTATGAACAGACCCCCGACCCGTCCATGCCTGTCTCTCCTTCCCAAGCCACCCCCTCTGCAGGCCTGTGCATGGAGCACCCCCACATCGCGCTCAGGCCCCACTGAGGACTGGTGGCGGCCTCCACGGGCACTCGGGTGCAGCCGGCTTGGACTTTCAGGAAGAGAATTTCAAGGTGGGCAGCTGCATAATCAATACAATTTCAATGGGCCTTCCATGTCCAAATGTGGTTTTGAGATGGAATCATCATGAGAATATTCATCATTCTCTGCAGTCAGGCAGGCCCCATGAGTAAGGGGCAGGCAGGGCTGGGTAGGGAGCTTGGGACCGGGCTCTGAGAGATCCCCGATGTGGAGAAATGCAGAGGTGCGTGCAAAACCAGAGCCGAGGGAACATAAGGAGACCCCCTCCTTTGTCCTAAATGTCATAGACGAGTTATTCTCATGAAAACTACAAACTGACCACTGCACCTACCCAAACTCCAAAGGAGAAGTAATCAGTAGTGACCTCAAGAAGATTTAAGTGCCTTGGTCAGTGTTCTATAAAAGACTGTCCCTAAAAGCCCTCTGGGGCCACCCATTCAGGACGCCGGTCACTTTCGCTCCTTTCTGTTCTCACCTGCACTTAATAAACGTTCACTTCACCTTTGGTGTCTGTGGGATTCACTCTTCGACTCAGCGAGACAAGAACCCTGCGACCCTTGGAGGGTCTGGACATCCAGACCATTGCAGACCTGGAAGCTGCGTGGGGGGAGCCCGAAGCCCTGGTGCTGTGGCAGCAGCAGCCTCGCTGACAGCACCCAGGACAAATCAGACACACTGAGCTCTGAATCCTCCTGTTGCTCAGGAGCCTTCTCCGTCTTTAAATTTCATATCCTTCATTAATTAGGATTACAACCTGCTGTTCACAGAGTCTGATGTCTCCTAGGTGAGCAAACCTCACCAGACTCCCGCACTTCACAGTTTCCACTCCCATGTAAGCAGATGGCATTGAAATATTTTTGAATAACAAATCTTGTATAGTGCCCTAGCAGGTACTGCTACGAGGGGGATAACCTATAATCATAGAGCATATGAAGTTTCCAGGAAATAGGAAAACATTGGGGTGGGAGGTGGGGGTTCCTCAACTTAGAAATAAATTTAAATCCAAGAGAATAATGAGTTCTTCCCCCAACCCTGAGCCTGTAGATTGACTGATGTACAGTCATGTAATCAACATATCCTCTCTCTCTCTCTTTCTCTCTACCAGAGATCTTTTAAAACCAAGATACTGATAAAACTATTCACAGATCAGTGCAAGAAGGTTTGTTTTTTGGTTTTGTTTTGTTTTTCCTTGTTTTTGTTTTAGATGCGATTTTTCAAGAAAATGAGCCCATGATGTTCAACTCCACACGGGCCACGCGGAAACATGCACCAACAGAGGGCCACGTGATGACGTGAATGGAGCATGGGCACAAGACACAGTCTATAGCATCTGATCTCCCCTGGTTGCGTGCTTCCAAACTTCTCCGGGGACACCTGAGCTTGTGTTCACAACCACCCTCCACGGCCAAGTGTGAACCAGGCCACGGCACCCAGCGCTAGCCGGGCTCGCTACGTGCCCCTAACGTGCTGCCACCATACATCTGAGGCCCAGTTAAGTGGCCCCCAAACCCAGGGGCTCGGGGACCCCCAGCTTCCGCCCGGGTGAGCTCTGCTGCTCCTGCGGTTCAGAACCTCACGTCGGCGGGATGGCCCACAGCTCTGGCCTGCTTGGCTATGCTTGTCCGAATTCAATCACAACTGACCTTTGGAACTGCATGTCTGCCTTCTTCAGAAAGCAAGAGCAAAGGCCTAAGCCAAGGGAATGATTTTTTTTTTTTAAGAAAAACTTTAAAGGCATAAGTTTGAGAATTCTCCCTCCATTTGAAAACTACCTCCTATGCTCAACATGACAGGCATAGAGAGCTTTGCCAAAGTCTATTTTAAACGTAGGCTCTTTTTCTGGTGGTTTTTTTTTTTTTTTTTGAGATAGCAATTATATTAGCACACTATAAGTAATACACTCCAGTGTCACAGTTTCACCTCAAAGTTGTCAAGGTTTTTTTGGTTTGGTTTGGTTTTGTGGTTTTGTTTTGTTTTTTTAATTCTTTCTGGTTTGGCTCCTGGTTATATAATGTAAAGACAGACTACAGGAAGAATATTCACTTTCTTCTATAATAAACTCAGGCAGACGTGCATATTTTATGCTGAGCTGCATCCCTTCTATAAAATAAATTAATCCATTTTCAGAAGGTGAGATGAAGAACCCATGAGAAAACAGCCTCCGAAGGATGAGAGGCCCCATTTTTAACACGAAGGATCACATCCCTTTGTCAGGAGTGTTTAGACAGTTCAAGATAATCCACAGTTAAGTGCTTCCTTGAATATTTTGGTGCCCAAACTGCCAAGATACAACATTTTACCTGGGGATGTGTCTGTTGAATTTCTAACCTGAGTCTGTAGCCAATATGTGGAGGCTAGATGTTCTGCAGGCTTCTCGGAGTGCTTGAGCAACAGCGTGGAGATTGTGTGTGTGTGTGTGTGTGTGTGTGTGTGTGTGTGTGTGTCATTTCTTTTTAAACAAATAGCCATGCCTTGGAGAGACCTGACAAATCATGCAGCTTCCACCCCTTCCCCCTGTCAGGTGGACATCTGCCCGGCCACAAGGCACAGCGACAGCCCACCTCTGTCCAACAGGCAGGACAGGAGCATGTGGAAGGCCGGTGGATGGGTGCTGGGTCCTGGCTCTTGAAACACCACAAAATATTTGTATAAGGGAGGAATCGTATGGACCCTATTGGGCACGACTGTATAATTCTTTGTGTTGGAGGAAAAAAAATCTGCTTTGCAGCCGGCAGCTCCAGGCCCATATTCAGCCCCTTTTAGCCTATTTAAATGGAAGGCTACAGCCTCAGGGAAAAACAGTCCCCAATTCTGCTGTGATGCCCTGAACCCAAAGCCTTAGGTCTGGAAGGAAAGGCAGGCGCCCAAGAAAACCTTGCTGGGTAAGAAAGTGCCCCCCCACTTACATAAAGCAAGCCAGCATTTGGCCTGCACCTGCTGGGAGCTGCGGAACCGAAGCCGCCCACCCTGCCTCTTGGGGCAGACACAGCAGAAGTAGTGACACTGCCTGCATTTGTCGGGGCAGGGCTGTCCGGCTCTCCCGAGCGTGTTCCCGGCATCGGCCTGATGCCCACTTCCCGGGGACAGGGGCCCGTGCCCAGAGGGGTCCCCCACCCCCCCACCTCCCCCACCCTCGGCCCCGCGAGCGGCCGCAGCGGTGCAGCCCAGGAGAAGGCAGGCCCGGCCGGAGCGCGGGACCCCAGGGCGTCAGCCTCCCCGCGCCGTGCGCCCCCGGCCTCCGCGGCGCCCCTCCCGGCCCGCGCCCCTCCCGGCCCGCGCCCCTCCCGGCCCGCGCCCGCGCCCGCACCCACCTTGACGACGTAGGTGACTCCGGCCCCCAGCACCTGGTCGCTGGCGTGCGGGGCGCGCGGCGGCGGCGGGTCGCCGGGCCGGCCCTTCCTGGCGGCGCGCATGGCCGGGGCGCCGGGGCCGTCCGGGGCGGCCAGGCTGGGCGCGCTGCAGCTGCCCGAGAGCCGCGCGCCCGCCCGCGCCCTGGCCGCCGAGCGCCCGCGGAGGCCCGAGCTGGAGAGTTTCAGGTGGGACACCTTGTGGAGCAGGTGGCCCAGGCTGCCCGGCCCATCGTCGGGCGCCCTGCGCAGCGCGTCTCCGGACACCAGGTAGGGGGCCGCCGCCGGGGCCGCGCGCGCCGCCGAGACCTTGCCGCCGCCGCTCACCGACAGGTTGTGCAGAAGGTCGTCGACCGAGGTCACCGAGTCGTTCCTGAAGCGGTTGTACTTGGTGCGTGGCAGCATGCCCCTCCGTGGGCCGGCCGCATCCGCCCGGGCGCTGCAGGGGCGAGCGCGGCCCCGGGGGGACGGGGACGGGGACGGGGACGGCGGGGACGGCGGGGGCGGGGGCGGGGGCGGGGGCGGGCCGGCGGGGGCCGCGGGGGCCGCGGCGGGGCACCGCGGGACCCGGGCACCGCCGCGCCGCCTGCCCGCTAGCGGCCCGCGCAGCCCCGGCCGCGCAGCCCCGGCCCCGCGCTCCGCCGAGGGTGGCACGCGGGCGCCGCTCCGGGCATCGCCTCCGAAGGGGAGCGCCCGGCCCGGGCTGCGCGCTGCGCGAGCGTGACTCACTCCGAGGAGACCCTTCTCAACAAAGGCCCGGGGAGCACTGCAGAGCACTTCCTGTAGCGCACACGCTCGCACACTCACACACACACACACACACGCACGGAGGAAAGAAAGAAAAAGAAAGAAAGAAAAAGAAGAAAGAAAGAAAGAAAGAAAGAAAGAAAGAAAGAAAGAAAGAAAGAAAGAAAGAAAGAAAGAAAGAAAGAGGAAAAAAAATACCGACACCCACGGACAGCACACCAGAGCCAATCAATTCTCAAACTGCCTTTCCTACCTTCCCAGACATTTCCTTCCAACCTCTGGCTGCGCGCCTCCCCATCCCCCCCACTCAGCACTGTGACACAGGTGAGTCCAGGCCCTTCGGACGGTCAGATGGACTTTCTGCAACCCCCTCCTCTGCGCTAGGGCCTCCCGTCCCCCCCGGTTCAGCCCTCCCGGGAGCCCCTAGGTGTCTGACAGCCGTGCCTTAAAAATGTGACGAAGGCATTTTAAGAATAAGATCTTCCGCGGATCCTCATGAATCCTGATTTGGAAAGCAGCAGAAATTGGTAAATAGCCAAAAATTAAAAATTAAAAACAACAACAACAACAACAAAAAAACCCACAAAGAAAAACAAAACCAGCAAAGAAAAGAGTATTTACTCCCAGGTGAACATAAAATACCAGTTTCCTGGGTTTTTCTTTTCTCTTTTCAAGTCAACAGAGCAGCCATGACAAGTGTCTTTGTGGCAATGCAGTTCCTCCGAAAAGGAAAAAAAAAAAAAAAAAAAAGGAAGGAAGGAAGGAAGAAAAAGGAAAAAGAAAGACAGAAAGATCTGCACAGAGCCAGTGAGGATGTGTTCCCTGCTAAGGACAACAGCCTTTCTCAGTTGGGGTTAGGTTGAAAACCTACTTCCAAAAAAGAAGAGGACTTCTCTGAGGAATGGCAGCCGGCTCCAGAAATCCATTCCAAAAAGGGGGCTGGGCTTGAGGCTTTATCCCAAATGAATGTGCTCAAGGTCTGGAAAGATGCCTACCAAACGCTACAAATACATTTCAATGTCCCTTCTGTTGCTGCTTTGCTGCCCTGCATTAAGGAAGAAAAAAAAATGCAGCTGCTCTGGTTACACAGCAAATCCGTTTCAGGAGTCAGACTCGGCTGCAAGGGACAGGCGCAGGCCTCCTTCCTCTCAGTTAGGAGAACGGGGCGTTGGCGGCCCCCAGAAGGTCCACGGAGACTCGAGCCCTCTAAGCCCTGACGCCCCAGGCTCCGCTGGTCTCGCCCCGCGTGGAGATATCCCACCTGACACAGACAAACCTCCCTGTGCGAATTGCCAGGCAACTCTGTGCAAGCAGATGAATTTACCTCTAGCACCCTGCCTTCCCACACCCACGGCTAGGCATGTGCCACATGGGGCACCCAGCCCCTCGGAGCTCTATGGACCAGGTGAAGGGAGGGCGGCTCCCGGCAGGCAGGTAAGGCCCGCCCGCCGGGATGCAGGGGCGCAGGCCCGCAGCCGCTCCCCTCCCTGGGCTCAGGCCTGGCGGAGCAGCCGCAGGCTCTCATTCCTGCCTTTCCCCTTGCTCGCTTAGCAACAGCAAGTACACACCCCATCGACGATGGTGATGGTTAGCACAGCCCCCCCCAAATCTGAAGCCAAAAAAATGCCCTATCATTCCCAAACCCCGCTCTTCATTAGAAGCAGACAAAAACAGCAAAATGTGAATGAGAGGCTGTTTGTGTGAATGGAAGGGCTAGCAGCGAGCCAGCGATTCTGTGAATGAAGCCGGGCCCTGCAGCCGGTGCCAGGCAATCCCCTGGCTCTGGCGGCCTCAGCCAATGAGCAGCCGCCCCGATGACTCATTGAAGAAGGCTTGCTCAATAGTGGAAGATTCCATTTCAATCAAAGGCGGGATCTTTATTCCAACGGCAGTGTGGGAAAAAAAAAAAAAAAAAAAAGCCAGCCTGATTACAAAATGCATGGAGGAAGGCACCATTGTCATGGAGAGCGGAAAAACTAGTTTCTCAAGAAAATTCAAGAACCGTTGGTCAGCTCCCAGGGTGACCAGGACTGCCTCTGTCGGAGGTGAGCTGTGCCCCCAAAACTTTCATTCAGCAGTTCATTTACAAGCAAGAAGCAACCATGAATGTGCCATTCGGTTCAGCATTTATCATGAATGTACAGCAAACGCACATTCAAACCTTAGGCATCTCGCCCTTGATTCTTTTTGTGAAAGGATCACCGAACATGCGTGCACGTTCTGAGTCTCCAAGGAGGAGGAAAAAAAAATCCAAAGCTACCCAGTTAACCCTTTAGCCAACAGGAGATTTTTATTCATTTTGTTATGATGAGCCAAGTGGAGGAAAATTGGCTATTTTAAAATAATCATAGTAATAGAAATTTACTGCATGTGAGAAGATCTGCCATCAAAGAGGGTAGTTAATATTCCAGGGATGCAATAGAAGCCTAAGCCCTCATTTCGTGGGAAGATGACTGCAAGGGGCAACGAGAAAAAAGCTGCAAACCCAGCCAGAAACCCAAGCCCTGCTGTGTCCAGGGCCCTCACCCAGCCGGTCCTGCATGTTTTAGGCACTGTCAGGCTGAAAGCATGGGGAGATGGAGGACACACAAAGTGTTCACAGTCCGGTGGCACAGAAGGAAACAGGGAAGGAAGCCACTATACAATCAGCCTTCAGGATGCCTGGGGTCGTAGTCGACAGTAGCCTTTGCAGAATATTGTGGTTTCTCTTTTTAAACCTATTAATTTAAAAGTGTATTGGTTTTCCATTGATGTCATCATCACCAGATCAGTGGTTTAAAATGCCCCAGCTGTATTACCCGCCAGTGCTGCAGGCAGAAGTCTGACGTAGATCGTAGATCGCCAGGGATGGAGTCAAGGGCTGGTGGCAGTGCGTTCCTTCTGGAGTTTCTAGGGGACAACATCTCTCCCTATCTCTTCCTGCTTCCAGAGGCTGCTCTGGGTCATGAGCTGAGCCCTGGGGACGGTGGGAAGGTTTCATTCTACCCCCAGAGGCAGATAATCTGACATTCACATCAAAGCCCAGTATGCTATGCAACAATTTAAATATGAGTAGGACATAAAACCCCTGCAGAAGGGAGTCTGCTGAGCTTGGCAGTGGGATGTCAGGGGTGACCTCAGTGAGGGTGACTGGGAAGCTGAGTTCTGAGGGGTTTCTGGGATCTTCCAGGTACATGGAGGTGAACAGACACTTCAGCAAGAGAGGCTGTGTGGGGAGCAGCCCAAGGCCTGCACGACTCAGCGTTTCCAGAACCCCATGTAGATGGCTAGGTTGGGGCAATGTTGGAAGGCCAGGCTGCTAAGATGGCCGGACCTGGAGGGTGTAGGAATAACCCATGTCTCCCTCTCAATGCCCAGGGAATGAGACTGCGCAGTGCGGTCAGGTTTGTATTTTATGTGGACTCCTCGAGCAGTAATGTGGGGTGCTCTGGGGAGTTGAGAGGATAGCAGATATCAGTACAAGCAAAACATGATGGGATCTTGAAGGAAGGCAGCGGTGGTAGGCTGGACAGGAGGGGACGAGCTCCAGATACAGTGAGAAGGTTAAACAATCTGCATGTCGAGGTTGGGTGAGGGCAGGTGAGCAGCTTGGCTTGTCTGGAGGCAGGGCTGACATAGAATTTGGATGCCAGCTTTTCCGTGGTAAGCAGGGAAGGCCACAGGATGGAGCAGAGGGAGAGGTGGCCCTGCAGAGCTCCGTCCTGGCTCCCTCCATCCTCACTCATCCTCACTCATCCTCTTTCATCCTCACTCAGCATCCTCAGCCTAAGCACCCCTGTAGCTGAGCTCCTGAAGGGGTGAGCCGTAGAGACCACCCGCCCCCAGAGGCAGGGAGGAAGATGCTCTGGAGGAGTCCACACAGGGAACAAGATGCAGAGCAAAGGCCACGCTTCTGACTGGGACAGTGAGGCTGATCAAGTCTCATCCATCGGGATGCAGAGCACAGGTGGAGGAAGGAAGGTGAGGGCTGGGTTCTGGATGCATCCACAGAGAGCTGCCCCGTGCTTAGGAGTGGAAGTTGAAGATTATTGGCATGCAGGGGACATTGCACTCTTTGATGATGGGTGAACACTCAGGGAAGAAGAGGGACAAGGAAGGATCCCAAGGACATGCCCAGGCTTCCAGGATGGGAGCTGAGAAAAAATGACCAGGATTTGGAGGCACCTGGGGAAGCCTGGTTGGATGGACACCCAGTGTCTTAGTTCGGCTGCTGTCACAAAATGTATAGACCAGGCAACTTTAACAATAAACATTTATTCTTCCCAGTTCTGGAGGATGGGAGTCCAAGACCAAGTCTCCAGCAGACTGGTGTCTGGAGAAAGCCCCTCCTGGTTCCTCGGCGGCTGTCTTCTCAGGTGTCCTCAGAGGTGGCTGATGGGCAAGTAGGCTCTGGGGAGTCCTCTTATAAGGGTACTAATCCCATACCTGGGCGGGCCCTCAGGACCTACTCACCTCCCAAAGGTCTCGCTTCCTCACACCATCACATTGGGGCCTAGGTTTCAACATATGAACAAGAGCACTAGCAGCAATTGTAATTCCGTAGAGCATCCCATGCCGAGCCATGTAACCTGTTATGCCCGTCAGCTTCTGTGGCCTGTGAGGTAGCATTCACATCCCATTCTGCACACAGAGAAACCGGGAATCAGAGGGTTTATGATGTGCGCCTGGGCCACACAGGGTTAGGAACCG